TTGCATACTGGCCAATCTCACAAGCTGCCGGTACTCTTTTGTTCCCTCTCCATATCAGGTTCTCTGGGCACTATGTGACGCTCATGTGTTCCCATTCTCACCTGACTGCTAATTTCTGTCGGTGGAGGCAAAGTATGGAGAAGCTTGGTGGCCTTTCACGCAGCTGTGCGCATAAACTTGCCCATCAAAGCCACTTTTCATGAACTGACCAATCACAGCCTAGCTGGGGTGGGATATTACAAAAAGGGTGACGTGCCACAGCAAACCTTCGAAATGTTGAACTTGCTGTTGTCCAACGTAAATTAATATTATACTTGTGGTGACATTTTTGTAAATATTTGATTGTATCTTTTATGTGAAAACACTGAAGAAATGAAAGTAGTGAGTGTGCGGCTTGTATAACTGTAAATTTTCTGTCCCCTCAAAATAACACATCACACAGCCATTACACATGTCTAAACCACTGGCAACAAAAGTGATATTATGGGATGGCGTAAAATAGCACGCCACTTTTAAGGGCATTCCAGCATGCCATGTCAACGCATTTTAAGCTTTTTGCTTGTCCTTTCACTCTGTTCAGTCCCTATAGACCTAAGCAACACAAGGGAGGTTAGTACTAACTGCTAGCAGAACGGCCGTGAGGCCAATTTGTGCAGCTCTAGGGTTAACTGGTCGACATGCATATTATCAATTACTTAGGTTTAGGCAGTGATGGTTAAGGTTAGCGCATGGTGCTTCAACAGGGGATGTCAATGCTAACATTGTTTGCCAACTAGCTACTTAAACTTTAACATAGCTAACACAACGTAGCTAACGCCATGTAGCATGGTAACGACATAACGTCACTTACGCAAGTTACGCAACCTAGGTAACTTAAATAAAAACAAAAAAATTATGTCTTATTGTTTTCATTTTCCTTTCACACGGGAACTGAACGACCAACTTACGTATTTATCTACCCGACCACCACTCCACCACCATAGTGTCGGACTTTCATGGCTAGTTATATCCCACACCTGCTGTTTTTACCTGTGACAGTAGGCGTAAAATGGCCGTTTAGACTGCATTGACTTCTGTTGTGCAGAATATGGGGACAAGGATTTAAATTATATGGTGGTGGAAAAAATGTCATTGGCGGTGGATAATTTACTGGAATGTTTCACAAAAGAAAAATATTACTGTGAGTTGCATATACAGGTCACCAGGTTCGAATATTGAAATATTTAAGGACTAGATGGAAGAGACACTTACAAATCCTAGCCAAAAAGTTATGTTCATCTGTGGGGACTTCAGTATTAATTTGTTAAACCCAAATAACCATAAAATTATTTTATCAACACTCTAAACAGATGGTAACAAACCAATTTCCAAAGGAGAGAAGAAACAATGGAGGCATTAAAAGTTTATCTGCTAGCACAAGACTGGGAGTTTATTGATAATGAAAAAGATGTGGACAAAGCATATAAAGAATTTCTAAGAATATTTAAATTATTATTATTGATTATTATATGATAAAAATTTCCCTATTAAAATATATAGCAGGAAACAAAAACAAAATGATAGACCATGGATTTCCAAAGGATTACAAAATTCATGTAAAAAGAAAAATACACTATAGAGAAGTTATAATACATAGAACTATAGAGGCCAAAAATAAATATAAGAAATATAAGAATAAGTTAACTAATATTATGAGAACTTGTAAGAAAGAATACTACACAAAACTATTAGGTAATAATAAAAACAATATTAAAGGTATGTAGAACATTTTAAATAATATTATTAAAATAATACTAGACAGGCTACTTATCCCCATTACTTCATTGATAATGATAAAAAATATTAATAACATGGAGAATGTGGTTAATTAATTTTTTGCAAACATGGGACCAAACTTTGCTGAACAAATCTCGGTTCCACAAACAAGTAAGTAGATATAATGTAATAGAAAGAAATCCCAGTTCTATATTTCAGCAGTAGATGAAAAAGAAAGAATAAATATTGTAAAAGAATGCAAAAACAAACCATCTACTGATCACGATGTAATTGATATAAAAATTATACAAACAGTAATAGAGGGGATCGTCAAAACACCGACGAACATCTGCAATTTATCAATTTCCAAAATGAAATACCAAAAGTCAATCCTCTATACAAAACTGGAAATAAACACCACTTCACAAATTACAGGCCTGTCTCTCTACTGCCACAATTTTCAAAAACTTTAGAAAAATGATTTAACTGCAGATTAGAGAAATTCATCGATAAAAACACTACTCACTGACAGCCAATACAGATTTAGAAAAAACAAGTCAACATTAGTAGCACTAACGGAACTCATTGAAGAAATCACAAATTCCATAGACAAAAACAAATATGCAGTTGGGGTATTCATTGATCTAAATAAAAAAAGCATTTGACACAATAAATCATGAAATATTAATCAGTAAAGTTCCAAACTAGGTAAGTAGTTATCTGAGAGACAGACAACAATTTGTGAAGATGGGAGATTATTCGTCTGAATGTCTGGGCATGGCTTGTGGTGTCCCCCAGGCGTCAGTGTTGGGACCAAAGTTATTTTTATTATATATCAATGATATTTGTAAAGTATCTGAAGTATTGAATTTTGTATTATTTGCAGATATATTTGGTTCAGGGGACAGCTTACAGCAACTCTTCGAATCAATCACTTCAGAATTCAAGTAAATAAAACGATGGTTTGACGTGAACAGGTTATCAATAAAATTTAGTAAAACTATATTCATGGTATTTGGAAACTGTAAGTCAAATCATAAAACACAGATACAGATAGAGGGTGTTAACAGAAAGAGTACATGAAAACAGAATTCCTTGGAGTGATCATAGATTACAAGATTTGCTGGAAGCTTCACATAAAACACATCAAAACCAAACTGTCCAGAAGTATTGCAGTGCTAGCAAGAGCTAAGCACATTCAGGATCTTAAATCACTTCACATCCTGTACTGTTCACTATTGTTACCTTATTTGAATTACTGTTTAGAGGTCTAGGGAAGCACTTATCAACATTCACTACAGCCACTAGTCATAATGCAAAAAAGAGCCATGAGAATCATTCACAACGTCGGATTTCGGGATCATACAAATTCATTGTTTCTACAGTCTAAATTGCTAAAATACCATGATATACCTAATTTAATATCAAATTGCAGTATTCATGTTGTTGGACTGTGACTTTAAATCACCCTTTTTAAACTATGTGTAGTCTTTGGTCCTGCGTGTTCTTTAATGAAGCTATAGGAGAAGGCGTTTTTGGTCCAAATTAATCAGTTTTATTCAAGTAAATGAATAAAGCTTCCAGAACTCTGGGTTGTGAGTCTTCCTTTCCCTGACCACCAACAAGCTGGGTCAGTTCATGAAGTCTGACTCTATCTCTCCCTGACGATACATCGTCAAGTCATAAAACAAAAGTGTAGGTTAGTGGATGATTGGCCCACGTACTCTGACCCCAATGTTTCATCATCCGACTCCACGAATCACCATGCTGTTGCAGGGCAGATTACGAGAGTAGTCCCTGAAAGGAGATATCTTGGAGAACAGATCTTTTGTACCACATTCCAGACCACCCTTCACCCATCTCCTTGTTTTCCTGTTCAGGTCCTTATCTGATCCTGCACAGAGACCCCCTGTAACTGCCCGTCTCCAAAAACACACACATCCGGTCTAGTTTAATAAATGATAGACCAACATATAAACTTCTACCTATAAAATAAATCAGAGATCAATATAAGAAAACACAATAATTTTGGTTACCCTGAGTAATACAACAATCATGCTATCATAATCTCTCAATGTTCAAAGCCAGAAGTAGCCTACTGCCTGGGAATATACAAAAGATGTTCTCTGAGAGAGAGAGAAGGTACGATTTAAGGGGAAGGGGAAATTTTAAGACTAACAGATTTAGAACAACAAAGAAAAGATTATGTTTATCAATTTGAGTTAAATTGTGGAATAAACTAAATGAGAACCTAAAGCAATGCCCAAACATATTCCTTTTCAAAAAAAATGTACAAAGAAATTATTTTCAAGACGTATCGAGAAGCACTTTAGTAAAAGTAGGAGTGCTCCTGTGTTTGTTTTTTTGTTTGTTTTTTTGCTTGTATTTTTTGCTGTTTGAATAAGTACATAATCGAGGTTAGGTAAAGAAATACTTGGTCACTTTAATATTATGAAAAAAATGTATATAAAAAACATAATTAGAATATAAAAATTGTTAATTTAAGGAATGTAAAAATTAAAGGGGTAGGAGTACATAAGTTTTACTTCTTCCTACTCCTTTATGCACATGTGATAGAAGTATGTTAACACAGGAAAGAAGGGTACTTTGCAGCTCATCTGTTGTTTTTTTCTCCTATTTTTTTAAACATTATGCTTTCAAATTCACATAATAGATGTGGTCCACCATTTGCACAAATTTCATCTCTCTCCATATTTCTAATAAACCAAACCACTACTACTACTACTTCTTCTTCATTCTTCTTCTTCGTACATATTCAACATACTGATGAAATGCGCTCCATAGAGCTGTTTGTCTGTTTGGGCTACAATAAGGCATGTGTTTTCTGTTTGCTTGACAGAAAAGAGTTCAACTCTTCTCTGAGCAAGACAGTTAGTTGCTCCAGAGGCGTGCAACTTCTGACATATACAGCAATTGCAACACGCTTTGGATAAAAGTGCCAGCTAAATTAGGAAATGTAATTATTCCCAATATACATATACCTACAGTGTGTGAGTGTGTATACATGTATGTATTTATGTACTTATGTACGTACACTCACACACACACTCTAGGTATAGATTACCTGAACTGAGGAAAAACTAAAGCATTGACCAAGAGATCAAGACAACATTAGGTACTTTTTAGTGTAAAAGGCATCACTTGTGCATGCTGCTGGAGGTGTGCCATAGGAGGAGTCAATTGAGTAGCTGCCAAGATATAAGTAATCTCACATCACCGATCATCAGGACTGGCAGCTCCAGTTGGAAGACTCCCACACAACTCAGCTGATCTACAAAACTTCACCAGATGAGGATAAATGTACTGACAGAGAGGCAGAGGGTGGTAAAAATAGAAATATATATTTAGACTTTTACTGAACTCCAGTCTGTGTAAAACTAACACTGTCAGAATAGTGTCTGCAGGATATTGTATTTCTATGCACAGTAAACTTTCTTTGTCTTGTCGTCCTTTTTGTTTATGTGCTCTCAGGAGGAGGCAGCTAGAAGCAGCACAGATTAGTACACTGGCATCCTGTCTCTGGCTAAATCTACTTCTGTCCACTGCAGAGGCACAATCCACAAGCTGGGTGAGTAAGTTTAAATTAGTGTATTAGTATAATATTATAACATTAAATAAAAAGTATTTTGTTAGTAAAATATTCATTTATTTATAGTTTACACTTTATTGGGAAAGTCTGCCTACAGATAGTTTATAAAGTTTATGTAACATTTGAACAGCTTATTTTTTATAACAGTTTTCTGATATTATACCACTGTGGTAAGGTTTGATTACGGCTAATGTTGGTGTATTCATTATAATTTCATATAATAGTACACTATAGACTTATAGCAGATCACGGACAATATTAATTTCAGTTAGATTAAACAGCAATTTCATTCATCCAGGTGGAGAAAAATTGTAAACATAGTGGTTAACTCTGGTTTTTGTTAATGCTATACTAACTTGTCAATAGAGAGCCTAAGTCACTCACTTCCGCTTCCGGCTGATGGGACCTTATTTCGGAAAAATATGTACGGTAGTCAATGACGAGAGATAACTTATATTTTTATCCCGTTAGAATTGAGCCTTGAACTACACATATGATGTTGGTCAATTTAAAATACAATTTTGCAAGTCAAGAAAGTCGTAGTTTGTCGTAAAACAGTAAAGTTACATGTCGTTTTGTGTGAAAACCGTTCAATGAACTACATCTCTCGTCTCGCATAATATACGTCACCAACATGTTAGTGCTGTAATGCTAGCTAAGGTTCGTTGCTACTAGCTGGATAACTTAGCTGTGTTCCACACAGAAATATATCTCACCTGATGTGTTTAATCCAACGATTCTCAGTCCTTTATCACATCATCCTCTCATGTAAGTTTTTTGACGTTAACTTCAGAAACATTAGCTTCAGTCATTGAGAGACAGTTACGACATCACATACGCGACTTTTGGGTTTATGGTCTTTGTAATTTTGTATTTTCAAAGTCTTATACTTAAACAGTTTTACATCAAACTGCAACTTTCTTGACTTTAAAATGTATATTTTAAATTGACAAGCATCATATGTGTAATTCAGGGCACAATTCAAACGGGATCAAAATATTTGTTGTCCCTCACCATTGACTACCGTACAATATTTTTCCGAAATAAGGTCCCATGGTGGTCCGCCGGAAGGGGAGGGACTTAGGCTCTCTATAATCAGAACCATTCATGCAGAACAACAAGTTAACTTTTTTGTTAATTTCCCGCCCCATCCAGACTGTGATTGGTCGGTTCACGAAAAGTGACAGTAATGAGCAACAAAAGGAACCCAACATGCTCCCTGTTCTGTTTCTGCCGACAGAGAAAAGCAGGCAGGCGAGAACGGGAAAAGGTGAGCGTCACATAGTGCCCACTGGGGCCAAATGAACCACCCAAAAAAACGGTTATAGAAAGGGCAGGTAGGAGTACCAGCAGCTTGAGAGAAGTGCAGGTATGCACGTTACACCAAAGAGTAGGGGAAAGCAGCCAACACAATATCCACAAAGAAATACAAAGACAAATATATATACAGTATATGATCACTACTCTGTATAAAACTATTGGCTGTCAGAATAGAGTCTGCAGGGAAATATTATATTTCAGTGCACAGTAAAACTGTCAGTGTTTCTGCTTCTTTGCTGTCCTTTCTGTTTGCTTGACAGAGGAGAGTTTACTCCCAGTGTTATAATTTCTCAACAGGTTGGAGAAATGGCCTCAGATACCATGAAGGTTGCTGCCCTGGGTCGACCCTTCACCCTAGGAATGTTCTATGATGCTCGGACAGATCAACGGATCCCAGGTAAGTCTTGATTTAGGAGCCTGTCCGCCACAGAAAAATTAGCATATAGGTCGATTTAGCCACACAAAATGACTGTACAATGTAACACATGACAAAGAAGATTGCATCGTTGAGCTCACATGATTCATATTTTGACGTGGGTTCAAAGTAATAATGTTGTCGTTTAGGTTGGAGGACTTGTTTTGACTTAGATATACTGTAAATCTGCTTACAGTAACTTTGAAAGAATTTCATACAGTGCTATTTAACTCCACTTAAACCTGAAAACTGACTCTGAATGTGTATCGTACGGTGGCACTGAGAGGCCAACGCACTGCAACTTAAGAAAACACATTCAAATTCATCACAACACAACACATTTAGACAACACAACAACATTAACACAACACAACACATTAAGACAACAAATATCACAATCGTGCAATGTCGATGTGAAAATGACCGAAAACACTTACATTTTAGCTTCATTCACTGACGGAAAAAAAGTCCTAAACTGCCACTGCAAAACCATGGGAGCACAACCAAAACAAGATTCTTCTTATTTTCTGGGTTTTTTGCCGGATCCAAACACCTTGTTTTGGTGCACACCGCCCCCTACTGTCCCAGAGTGTGTTATTTCAAGGCATTATGTACTTCAGGTTACAGGTTCAACCAAAACACCATGCTGTGTGCATCACTTAAAAGGGTCCCCTGGAAACACTTCCGTTGTGTTGTCTAAATGTGTTGTGTTGTCGAAATGAGTTGTGTTTGTCGAAATGTGTTTGTGAATTTGAATGTTTTTTCTTAAGTTGCAGTGCGTTGGCCTCTCAGGGCCACCGTAGAATTGGTTCTAAATAAGTGAAAACATATATTTTTAAGGCCAGTTAATTTGACATTGAAAAACATCAAGGAGTGAGATTAGAGGACATAGTTTTAGTGTAACATTTGTGTGTGCTGTCTTACCTCTTTGTCCTCTTCTGTGCTCTCTGCCTGATGCCTTTGTTTGAGTTCTTCCACCCAAAACACACACACACACACACACACACACACACACAGTGAGCAGCAGAGAATCTTTAAATACCATGATGAAATTTCTCATTGTGTTACTATTGTAAAGAATTTTCACATCTTCCCGTCTTAATCTGAAGTAGACAGTAACATACAGCAGGATTTATTGTTGCGTTGTTACACAGTTACGCTCATGTTGTATGTTACCATACACCATCAATCCTATAATCCTTTTATTAATTAGACTCATGTCAGAGAATGAATCCAGCAAATATATCAGCTGTTTAGCTAACTGCTGCCAGGAAAAGAAGCTACAACATATAATAATCTAATCTAATCCCTTTATTTTTTAACGATCCTGCTTAATCAGATGACTGATAGTGTTTGTTGTTAATTTTTGTAGGTTTGACATTGTGGGATGAAGAAACTCTACAAGAGAACACAGTTGAAAGCTCTCAGCACAGCAGTGCATTTGAAATTTCTGCATCTGACTCCATTGAATCCAGGTCCTTTCTGCTGGGTGTTGATGCTTCTCTGAAGGTCAGTTATATGTGTGGACTGATTGAAGTAGGAGGATCTGCCAAGTATCTGAATGATACGAAGAAATTCAAGAATCAGGACAGAGTGACGTGTCAGTACAAAGCTACCACACACTTCAAACAGTTGTCAATGACTCACCTTACAACTATGGACAAACATCAAATAGATGTTATTCAAAAGAGCTCTGCAACTCATGTAGTCACAGGCATCCTTTATGGAGCAAACGCTTTCTTTGTATTTGACAGTGAGAAGTTAGACTCCAGCAGTGTTCAGGACTTTCAGGGCAGCATGGAAGCTGTGATACAGAAGATCCCCAAATGTAATGTTGACGGGAAAGTTGAACTAAAGCTGACCGATGAAGAAAAAGCTCTGACTGAGAAATTCTCCTGCAAATTCTACGGAGACTTCATTCTTGAAAGCAACCCAGCAACATTTGAAGACGCAGTGAAGACCTACATACAACTTCCAAAGCTGCTGGGAGAAAAGGGAGAGAACAGTGTTCCACTGAAGGTCTGGCTGATGCCACTGAAGAAGTTTTATTCAGAAGCTGCTGAGCTGGTGAGAGAGATCAGTGTTGGACTAGTGAGCAAGATAGAGTATGCTCTGGAAGATTTAAGTCAAGTGGGAATGAGATGCAACGATTCTCTGGACGACAGATCGGTAGAGAGTTTTCCACTGATTCAAGAAGAGTTAAGCACTTTCCAAAAACTGTGTAATGATTATGCAACTAAACTCCAACAGACCATGGAGAAGAAACTTCCCTCAATCAGAGCAGGTGAAGAAGATGAGAGCTCAACAGAAAAAGTCTTTGAAGACAGAGACAAGTCACCATTCAGTCATAAGAAACTAAGCAAGTGGATGGAAGACAAAGAGAGAGAAATCAACATCATCAGGTCCTGTGTAGAAAAGATGGAGGGAACACAGATTGTCCAAAATAAGTCAGAGCTGGACAGAGAAGTTCTCGGTGTGGAGGATGCTCTGTGCTTTGTTTTCACCTCCATGGAAAGGGGGGACACCTACCTTGATGTGATGGCCGACTACTTGGACTCACATAAATTAGGAAGTACCTATGAAAGTCCGTGGTACCACTCAGAAGAAGTTGTAACCAAAATGAGTGAAAAAGCCAAAGATTTCCATGATCTTGCCAAAGACCTGAAGAACAACAGCCGATTCTGTTTCCTCATAGCAGCCATAGCAAATAAGAAATACGCAGGAGCAACCATCTACCATTACAAGGAGGGCATTCTGGTCTCTGAGGAGTTCTCAAAGCCTGACCTCCCTCCTGTGGAGAAAATCACTGACAGAAGAGATCTGATCTGGTGTAAGTACTTCTACTGCAATGCTTTAATGAGTTGAAGATACAAATTCCCCTCCTACCTTCCTCCTTCTCCTCCAGAAACCTGCTTCAACATCCGAATGACTTATTACACATTTTGTTTTGGTCTCTCCATCAGATGCCTGTGATCTCACCCTGGACCCAGACACTGTCAACAACTACCTCACTCTGTCTTTGGGGAAAAAAAAGGCAACATTTGGAGCGTTGCAGACGTATCCTGATCACCCAGAGAGGTTTGATACACATCCTCAGGTGATGTGCAGACAGAGGTTAAAGGGGCGACATTACTGGGAGATAGGGTGGAGTAATTCTTCCTATGAATCTGTTTACGTAGGTGTTGCGTACAAGATTACTGAAAGAAAAGGAGACAGTTCACAGAGCGAGCTTGGAAGTAATACCATGTCGTGGTGTTTTGGCCAGTATGGTTTTCTGAAATCTGTACTTCATGCATATCATAATGGCAGGGTGTGGAGCGATGCTTTTCCCTCTGACTGCAACAGAGTTGGGGTGTTTCTGGATTGGCCTGCTGGCACTCTGTCCTACTACAGAGTCTCTGACAAACTGAGTCACCTCTACACCTTCAAGAACATTCAGTTCACTGAGCCTGTTTACCCGTGTTTCTCGGTTGGACAACGATACAATTATGTGTACCTTCGTCCATTCGAATAAGAGCATTGACAAATGACACATTTAAAGTTTAGAGAGCAGCACCCCATTTTATTTTGAAATGTTGTTCACAAATTCAAAACTGCATTCAAACCCAGACAGACCAGGATAATTGACGGTGTCAGATCAAGTTGATTCTGTGCCCAGCCTTATTCTCAAAATTGTGCTTCACATTCAGTTTCAGGTTGTATTGTTTAGTACAAGACAGATATCTTTTTTATTGTAACCTTCTAATTCCTGATACCTAAGGATACAGAGCTTATAGCAATACACAATAGCTGTGTCAACACTAGTATGTTGAAAGATACACTTATAGCTCATGTAAAAAGATACTGATTGACTTGTTTTTAGGCAACATAAGGTAGCTAATGTAGATATTGTTTAATCTAGCGTTTGTCCATTTTCTTATTTGTGCAGTATTTTAAAAATAATTATGTTTTCAGAATACAATAGAAATTGGTTTTGTTTTTATTAAGTCAAACAACCTAACCCAGACCCAGGGTTCAATTAATGACTTTACTGTTCTGAGCAGAGACGCTGTTAACACCATCATCTTGTTGGTGTTTGTAGAGATGAAGCAATGTCAGATTCCTGTGACACTGCAACAACTGTTGGATGTGTTAATGTTGAACAGAATAAATAATTGGAGACCTGAGTTTACCACTGTGTGCTACTTGTTATTTCCAGTCGATTCTAAAGTTGACTGCATCAAAGGATATATGTTGTCATTTATTTATTTATTAACTAGATGTTACTTTTTGTTCATGTTATTTCAAGTCACTGGCAAATGCTAAGAAATTGTAATTTTTCTTAATTATGTATAACAATACTCCATGTTCTACTGCTATCTATGCATATAATTGCCTCCTCAGCCCTGCACACAGCCTCTTCACCTGTCACTGTTTTCTCTGGTTGCATCGTCCTTCTCCTGCTGCTTCGCTTCCTTATCCTCCTCCTGCTCCTCCTCCTCATCCTTCTCTCCCTCATCATCAACATGACCGGGGTCATCACCCTGCCCCTCTCCTTCACCTCCACTGACCTCAACAACTAATATACATACAGACACCTGAGCTCAGTATTTCCGTGGGAGATACCTAAATTGCAGTTAAATCTTGTGTTAAATACTTAGGCTAGATAGTTCCTCTAGTGGCGTGGATATGGGTCAAAGGTTTATCACGAAAGTGAAACAAAGAATTTCTGGCCCGTAAGGCTCATTTTCTAAATAAAGAAATTTTGAAATCGTTGGCAATAGTTTTAACTCAGCCTCACTCTGACTGTACTACATGGTACATTAGCACCCCCAGGAGGATAATAACTAAACTTAACTTGATCTTAAACCTCAACAAGAGGACTCATGTCGGCTCTTCTGAACTCAAGGACTTAAAATGGTTGACTGTTGAAAACAGGGTGAGGCAGCTGAAACTGAGATTAACACGAAAGATTTTGCATAGGAACAAGCCAAGGTATTTTAAAGATTATTTTAAGCTTTTTAGGAGCTCTCATAGCTACTCAGGCTGTGCAACTGACAGTACCCTGTAGATTTAGGTGCTGTTCTGGGCAAAACACCTTTTTGTACACCTTTTTAAAAGTATTAAGGAGTATTTCTTATTAACATAATAAGGTGTGGCTCCTTTTGAGGTGACCCAAGGTGTAAATGTATTTGTGTTCAGGTATGTATTTGTTTTTATTTTTGTTTATATAGCTTGCCTATCTTTCTCAGACTAAAACGAGGATCCACAATGGAAATAAGTTTTTAACTTTCTTGTGTTATCTTTGACTCTTCTGAAGAATGTATATTGTCACTGTGGATGACATTTTTATTATGCATTTATTCATGTTACTGTTCAATAATAAATTAAAAATCAAATGCAGACATACAGAGATTCCTCGCTTTTAAAAGGATGCCGTCTTTGTGTGATAACACATTGCAAAGTGTTGTTTATAATACTGTATATATAAATACATAGTATATGTGCTTATATATAAATGCATATATAAATAATTTTAGCCTGTGCTGGATCCTGCCTCATCACAGCCTGCCACACCAGCCTTCCCACCAAGGAAGAGGACTGTTAATTTGGCACATTTAGCTGCCTCTTGTGCCAACAGTCTTTTCTACTTAATTCTTATTTTTTCACCACCACACATTTCTTTTTCCTTATTCTTTCTCTTTCATCATATTTACCCTCTCTGTTGCACTTGTAACACAACCCTGGGTTGACAAAATGTAGCAGACCGTTGCAAAACATTTTGAGACTGAAGTCGAATGGAAAGTAAACTCATTTGAGTCAATCAGATTTCAGCAAAAATAGGATTGTATCCCCCATCAATATTGAAAGTATTACTTGTCCCAGTCTGACAGACACACAAACAGCATTCTGCTGCAGATGACCAGCCGGCCAGCCAGTGGGGTCGTGGATCATAAAGTCAGACCATAGAAACTCTTAACCACTGGCCGGTTCGACCTGGAATGGACCGGCCATTCGAGTCTTCCCAAACTTCCGATGGTCTGTCTGCCCCTGGTCACATTTGTTGAAATTCTCTTTACATCCCAACAGCAATCAATAAATCAAATGCTCTCACACAAAAATGAAAAAAATCAGGCATTGTTGTTTGTTTGTCTGTTACATGAATGTAATAAGCAGTGGCAATTATTTAATTCCCTGCACTCACTGCGCATTAAAGTGTGTTTTGGAGGGCGGCCTGAAGCCAGAGAGTTGGATACTTCTGAAATCTAGCCATCTGTTTAGTTTCTCCAACACTGCCAACCCAAGCTTTAAAATTGATAGTGTAATGTCTCTCGCTTTGCTCTTTAAAGGTGCATAAAAGTACTACATTTCAGGTGCATACTATAGGGCCCTATAAAATCTGTTTTAATGTTTGCCAAATTTCATGTTTTCTGTTTAAATTTTTCTGAATTCGTTTTTGAATTTAAGCACATTTTGTTATTGGAGATAGTGTAGGGGATAAATTAAATTTCAACAACTCAGTAAGAAAATATTAAGAGTGTAATCAATATCACTGAGTTCGATGTATCAGACCAAATGTGCATAAAGAAATATTCAAACTTATGTAAAATTATAATAAAATGGCACATGCTTAACATTTAAATACATTATTTTTCTCTTCCTGTACATCGCTTCAGTACCTCTTTGTAACCCTCTGCGTGAATACGGTCTCTTTAAGCCCCTCCTCCCCGGAAGCCCACTTGCTTCTGATTGGCCAACTTCCCCAAGCACAGAAGAGGGGTGGGGCCTAGCCATCCTGCAACGCGAGACTAGGCCTCACTGTACTAAAACACAACTTTATTCACTGGTTTTTACTAATACTGGATCAGATTTGATGAAGAAAATATTGTCCGGTTTTCCCTCTGATGTCCTTATATTACCTATTACTTTAGCAGCTAACTACTGCTAACAGCAGCTACTGCTAGTTACTCAGTTAGCCATGCAGTTAGCCGTCTATTGCTGATTCTGCCCAGACTGGAAGTTTGGTGCTCCGGGTGTGTGCTGGTGTTTACACCTCTTACATTAAAGTAGCTTTGGACCACTGCTTCAGAGCCAGCTGATAACAGAAGCTACTGTTAGCAACAGTGGTTAGCAAGCTGCAGCGTTGTCAACAAGTAAAGCATCTATGAGGAAACTTCATAAATCACAGAATTGAGGTAGAGCAGCAGGGGGACACCAGAGGCAAAACCATTTCACTTCATAACCGTAAAAGCACTTTCTGTGAGATCTACTGCACAACCTCCAGCTCTATGAGCTCGTATAACCGGTTCTCTGGAACGTGATCCCAGATGTTATGTAACAGCTAGTGCTTGTTGGCATTCAGCTTTTTTTCCGGTGTCTTTTGCATGTGCGAGATTTACGTATGAAGGAGGAAACAATGGAGATTGAGGCTCACGATAGGTCAGTTCCATGTCCTGTACTTTTTTTATTCAACTCTGAAAGCCTGGGATCTGTCACACAAAAAATGGTTGTTTTGTCTGGAGGCGTATCATGGGAGGAGTCAGCAGGAGAGTTTCTAACATACATACATCATTGTCAGGCAAGTTTTGACAGGAAAATACTGCATTCCTAAGGACAGTAGAGTGTCTTTCTGTCTCTTTACTTTCTGTTTCCGTAACAGAGGAGAGTAAACTCTCGTATTTTAAACTTTTAAACACTCTACTAAGACAGTTTAAGTGAAGTCCTAAAGGCTGTGTGACGTTTACCAGACATTTCTCAACAAGTTGGAGAAATGGCCTCAGATACCATGACTGTTGCTGCCCTGGGTCGACCTTTCAGCCTAGGAATGCTCTATGATGCTCGGAAAGATGAACTGATCCCAGGTAAGTCTCAATTCATCAAGCAGTAACACTATTTTATCTCCACCTATTTAACATTTATACGCACAGAAAAATAATGACTGCTTTGTAATTCTATAATGTAGTTGTGACCATTTATTAGCAAAGGATTTTAGGGATGTTGATAATATTTGTAGCTGATACAGTATATTATTCTGTGATAAATGAGAAAATTTAATCAAGTCATTATTGTTGCACAATTTCAGCCCATAAGTACGTCTGTGCAGCCATTTTACAACAGTCCCGTGACTACAGCTGCCCTGTGAAACCCGACTCTGAATGGGGATTGGTTCTAAATTTGTGGAAAAAAAACACATTTTTAGAGTGAGTTATTTTGGGACAGAATAAAACAGGGATTGAGATTAGTAAAGTGGAAAACATGTTTTTGGTGTAATCTTCATTGTGTGTGCTGTCTTGCCTCTTACTCTCTGTACTCTCTGGCTCACTGCCTTTGTTTGCATTAGAGCAAGGCGGAGTTCTTCCACCTGAAAACACACACACACATAGCGAGCAGCAGAGTAGTTTCAGAAGCCATGACGAAAACACTCTTTTCAAAGGTAGAGTGCTACAAAAGTAGTAAATAAAGGGCAGCCCCTATCGGGGGGGGGGGGGTGTATTTCGTACAAATAGGATTTTTTTTTCTGTAAATTTTAACAAAGCTCCCGTAGTCGAAATGCATCACGGGATGTCTGAGGGACGGCCTTTAAAGCTGATAGGCTGTACTACATTGCAGGTGTGTGAGCCTCTGTCTCTTACATGTAGTAACATCTAGTTGCGAGATTGTGATGTAGAGGAGGGAGGGTCTACTGAGATTCAGTGTGGATTTATGTATGCTTTCTCTTAACTGTGGCTAAACTGTCTTATAGTGGACAATTACACTTTCTCAGTAACAAAACGAGTAACAAAAGTTTCAAATGCATGCGTGGTTATCTTTCGTTCTTGAGTTAAACTCTCAGTAACAATAATTTCAAATGAATGTGTGGTTATCTTTCGTTCTTGATTTAAACTCTCAGTAACAATAGTTTCAAATGCCTGCGTGGTAATTTTTCGTTCTTGATTTAAACTCTCAGTAACAAATGTTTCAAATGCATGCGTTTTTTTCTATAAATGGTTAGTAGAATTAATATTAATACGTATTGAGCGCGGGTAGAAAAGGAGTCACACTCTGACAGAGGAGCTACAAAACCTGATTTAACTCAGCGTGAGAACACAAAACAGATGTCTCTCACAAGATGTTTACAAATACGTGCGCAAGTGTTTATTTATCATTCTTGTTTTAAAACTCTCAGTAACAAATATTTCAAATGCATGCACTCTTGCACCATAGGAAAAGAGGCTCCGTGGCTCTCCTCCCTTTATAACCGATCTGCAAGGACAGGGCATTCCTCCTGCGTAGTGACGTCACTGACCGAAGAGGGACACTCACTCACACACACAAGACGGGATGAGCCCGGTACTAAATTGGTTCCCCTTCGAGGGAAGTCGAACTGCGTCGGTGACGACACTATGGGAACGCCTCTGGGCGTGGCAGGGCTGAAATCATGAATGAAACTACTCCAATCCTATTGGCGTTGCTAGAACGGTAGCGAGTGACGGCTTAACTGGAGGTGTATAAGCACGCCGGCAACTGGAGGTGTATAAGCACGCCGGCACACCGGACACATTAGCTTTTTTCTATTCAGCAGGCCCTCTGGCTTGTTTGAGACTACTCAGAAGGAGGCTACCACACATCTAGTTACCTGGAAGGAGAAGCAGAGGAGATGGCTGGTGAGCAGTTCAGGCAGTGTGTCTTCCATGCCCGCGCTACATCACGGCTGGGGACACTCATGCCCTGTGTGTTTCCTGTCTGGGGATACTGCATGCCCAGGCAGCTCTTGAGGGGGCTGCTTGCGTCCATTGCGAGGCCCTGCCCCTGAGGGTGCTGAGGTCCCGTGCGACTCTCTTTTCCGAAGAGGGCCGGATGCGCTCTTTCCCGTGGCTCGCGCCCGGTGGTCGCTGAGGTGGCGCGGCGGCTTCGGTCATGGGGCGCCCAGCGCGACATCTCCGAGGGCATCGGGACTGCCAAGGCTTTTTCCCATTCCTCGTCTGCTGACTCCGCCTCCTCTCTTCCACGTTCGGGAGTCCGTTTCTTGGCTTCTCCCGCCCGAGGTATGAGTTTGGAGAGGCTTGCACAGTCTGATTCTGAGGAGCTAGACGTGCTTAGCATCATGGAGGATGACTTCCAGGAGCCGGGCCGACGTCATCAGACCGCAACCAGCTATGCGAGGCGGGGTAGGAGCCGCGGGCCGGCAGTAACCTCTGTGAGCTTTTCTGCAGCCCGAGCGCCACCCCCGCGTTCTTTCCTGATTTGCACAATGAGTTATGTAAATCATGGAACAGACCAAGAAAAAAAAAAAAAAGCTGCTCTGCACGGCTGACTGTGTCCCCGCTTCTGGACTACAACAGCGTGACAGAAACTAAGCAGCACGGCTACGGAACGATGCCTTGGGTGGAGGAAGCGTTCGCAAGCTATCTTTCTCCCACCCTCGCTTCGTTCCTTCAGATGTCGGCGAAGCAGTGGATGCTGTTGAGAGCAGGTCTCAGCGCGCTGAAACGCAGGGAGAGGCGTTTGAGCAATATCTCCCCCGCCGGTCTGGGTCCAGGACAGTGACGGCTGAAGAGAGACGAGCTCAGCCCTCGTCTAGCTCCTACCGCCGGAGTCTGAAGCGTCGCTTCCCGTAGTCCCCCTCAACAAACCTGGGACGCGAGGCGGCGCTCTCGCCCACAGCCCCCCGAGAGGCTGACCGAGGTCCCCTCCCTGTGGTGGCTCAGGCAACAGGGGCTGTTTTTCTCGGGCACGCTAACCGCCAGCGAGCTCTCACCAGTCTGCCTGCCTCGAGGGGTTGCAGCTAGGAAACGATCGGGCTCACACACCGTGGGTCGCCGGCGAGTTTTCCCTGGCGGTCCTCCGCTTTAGTGTGCCACTGGGGACCTACGCATAACACCGGCCACCAGCTCAGAGGGCCCCCCCCCCCGCAGTAGTTCAACGGGGTGGTCTGGACTGTGGTGCACGCGGGGCAGAACCAGGTGTTGGGACAAGAAGTTCGCTTTCTGCTGGAGAAAGGAGCCATAGAACTCATTTCCCCGTCAGTCAGGGAGTCCGGGTTCTACAGCCGGTACTTCACAGTTCCCAAGAAGGACGGAGGTTTGCGTCCGATTTCAGATCTGCGGTCCCTGAACCAATCTCTGAGGAGATTCAGGTTCAGGATGCTCACCGTCCCCGTCATCATCAGTCACATCCAATCCGAGGATTGGTTTGTCACGATAGATCTGCGAGACGCATATTTCCACATCTCCATCCGTCCCTTTCACAGGAAGTTCCGGAGGTTCGCCTTCGGGGGCGCGGCGTACCAGTATCGGGTTCTTCCGTTCGGCACTCTCTCCTCGCACGTTCACCAAATGCATGGATGCAGCTCTGGCCCCGCTGAGGCTCCAGGGCAGCCGCATATTAAACTACATCGATGACTGGCTTATCTTGGCTCAGTCTCGGGAGTTAGCGGTTCGGGATCGAGATGTCGTCCTCGCCCACCTTCAGCGTTTGGGACTGCGGTTCAACGCGAAGAAGAGCGTGCTGACCCCCGCCCAACGGACTACGTTTCTAGGGGTGGTGTGGGACTCGACGACGATGCGGGTCCACCTGTCGCCTGCACGCATCGGGTCCATTTTGTCCTCGGTGACCAGAGTGTAGCTAGACCGTACCATCACTTTGAAACACTTTCAGAGGTTGAGGCAGCGTCCAGCGTAATCCCGTCTGACCTGCTGCACATGAGAGCCCTGCAGTGGTGGTTAAAATCCAAGGAATTCTCCCCAAGGGGAAATCCGTTCCGTCTGATACGGGTTACGAGCAGGTGCATTCGTTCCCTGTCAGTATGGAGGAAGCCTTGGTTCCTGTCCCAGGGTCCCGTGTTGGGAGCGTCATGTCGCTGGACAATTATTTCGACAGACGCCTCACTCGCGGGGTGGGGCGCGGTCATGGACAGCCATTTTGCGAGAGGCTCCTGGCAGGAGCATAATTTCTCTTGGCACATAAATTGCCTGGAAATGTTGGCAGTTTTCAGAGCTATGAGGAGTTTTATGCCTGCTCTTCGCGGTCGCCACGTTCTTGTGAGGACCGACAACACGGCGGTGGTTGCCAATTTGAATCACCAGGGGGGTCTGCGCCAGGTCTTTCACCCTTGTCCCGCCCTGTGGAAACTGTGGGTCTGGCCCCTGAGGGGGCCCAGTTCCTGGAGGCGGGCCTGACGGTGGGAACAGTTGAGACGCTGCTCAGCTCCAGAGCCCCGTCCACGAGAAGGACGTACGGCCTAAAGTGGAATGTGTTTGCCACCTGGTGTAGAGAACGGGCGGTGGACCCAGTTACCTGCCCGGTGACTATGTTACTGGAGTTCTACCAGGACCGTTTCTCTGCTGGCCTTTCCCTATCCACACTCAAGGTGTATGTGGATGCCATGGCGGCGTTCCACGCCCCTCTGAGGGATGGGCCTCTGGGGAGGCTTCCACTGGTCATGCGCTTCCTCCGTGGAGCCTGGAGGATGAGACCCGTGATTCATTCCAGGGTTCCCACTTGGGACCTGGCGGTGGTTCTCGAAGCGCTGGCTGAGGCCCCCTTCGAACCCCTGGAGTCTGCTGAGGCCAAGCACCTAACCCTTAAGATGGCCTTTCTCCTCGCTATCACCTCTCTGAGGAGGTTGGGGGATCTCCAGGCACTTTCGGTTTCTCCTCAATGCCTGGAGTTTGCCCTGGGGAGGGTCAGAGCCATCGTGCACCCCTGTCCGGGCTATGTCCCTAAGGTTCCGTCCAGGTTGGCAGGGTCTACGGTGCTGCAGGCGTTTCATCTCCCACCTCATGTGACGGCGGAGGACGGGAGACTTCATCTGCTCTGCCCGGTCAGAGCACTGAGTATTTACACTCTGAGGTCCTCCCGGTGGAGGAAAGCAGACCAGTTGCTGGTGTGTTTCGGGTCCCCCAAGGCTGGGCTCCCCGCTTCTAAACACACGATCAGCAACTGGATTGTTCAGACTATTTCCCTGGCCTATCAGGTTACCTTCACCTATGGCCGTAAGTGCACTTTACTCAAGGCATGGCGGCCTCTAGGGCCCTCCTCGTAGGGGCTTCGCTCCAGGATTTGTGTGAGGCAGCTGGCTGGGCCACTCCTCACACTTTCATCCGGTTTTCCGGTAGTGGGTATTCTCGTTCCTGTAGTGTCGTCAACGACGCAGTTCGAGTTCCCTCTAAGGGGAACGTCTCGGGTTACGTATATAACCCTTGTTCCCCGAGAAGGGGAACGAGACACTGCGTCGATTCGCCACACCTCGCCCCGACTGGAGTGCCTTGCTTCATAGCAAAGAGCTAATGTGTTGGTGTGCCGGCGTGCTTATATATATATAATGGCTTGCCATCTTCTTTATGTGATGATACATTGTTGCCTTTAGATAAAAACAATTTGTTGATTATTGATGATTTAATGAGTGATGTTAGCAATAACATTGAGGTCCAAAATGTGTTTACAAAATATGTGCATCATAGAAATTTAAGTTGTTTATACCTAGTTCAGAATTTGTTTTTTCAAGGCAAAGTTAGCCGTACTATTAATTTGAATACCAATTATCTTGTTTTGTTTAAAAATCCCAGAGATAAATACCAAGTCATGCTAATGGCTAGACAAATGTTTCCTGGGAAGAGTCATTTTTTTATGGATTGTTTTGAGGATGCCACGAGTGTTCCTTACTTTATGATTGATTTTAAAGCTAAGACACCTGATCTCAAAAAAGAAGACGCTGCTTAAACAGTCTGGCAGTGTTATAACGAGTCTTATTGGTTCAAGACGACTATGGAGTATGCACAAAAAATGTTTCTGGAACCTAAACAACAGCTTGATCTTTTAAGAAGATCTCCGGCACACGAGTCTATTCAAGAAACTGTTGAAAATGACCTGGATCGTACTATAAAAGACATTCTGGATCAAAAGACTTCATCTTCATGAAAAAGCAAAAAAAATATTCCATCGCATTGCAGAGATTTCTCACCATGGTAAAACAAGGAGAAAAAGACCAGAACACACTAACTTTGTCAATGCCGGTTGATGCTGAGGATTTTCACTCTTCAGAGCATAAGAATCAAGAAGAAAGAGACTTTGTTTTTGAAGAAGTTTTAAAAAACATGCCAAAACAGCAGCTCAAGCTCAGCATATTTTGGATAAAATGTCCTCCTCAAAAAACATATCTGCATGGACTGAACGTGGGGAGTTTGTGTTTAACGGTAATGTTATTAAAGGGCCTCGTGTATGATTTGATAAGAGGAGTGACTGCTTCTCACAACGTGTCTGACAGCCAGAGACCTACAGGTTGGGATGAATATCTGCAATCGTTGGCTATATTGAATATACCTTTATCAGTTGTACTAAATCAACAGGTCAAAAGAAAAATTGCCGAGATTAAGACAAAGACTTTTGAATCTTCTCCTCATATTACTGGACCGCCATCTACACCTCTTGTTACCACAGGACATCGATTAGCAAACAATGAAACAAGTCCCTTTGTATCTCCTAAAATGCGATTGAGTGATTGGATAACTTTTTTATTATATATCGTTATCGGTTTAAAATAAATACGTAGACATAACTTTTTTTTTTCAATAAGTGTTTTTATTTATATCACCATAATAACAAAAAACATTGTTGTACACGTTTCAATCTATAAATCATTTTGATAATGAATGGCACACAACTTCTAATATTATTATACACATTTAAAAGAATCTGATACTTGGACACACTGGTTACAGTCTGCATAATTATTTTGACCACATATAACTGAGGGTCGTATTTTTTTCACAAATTTGCACACCATAAAATCATTGCAACTCGTTTATTACTATATATAGTCACTACATTGTCATAAGATAACCCTCTATCCATGTGGTAAAGAAAAAACACACAATGCTGACCGCACACTATAGAACCCACATCATGCACTTGTCTAACAGAATGTCGTGTGGACTTACAATTACTGTTGAGAAAGACAGAAAAGGATTCAGGAAAATGTGATTATACCGGAGAGTTCCCAAAACTGTCAAAGAATGATCCAACACCCTGCTTGTCAATATAGATAGCGACCCAGTGTTGTCCTCCTTGGTGGGAGGGGTCTGTGTTTACCACCAACATGGCGGGTCTCTTTTTAATAACTGATTTAAGAAGCTGGTCACTAGCAAGTACTCCAAGAAAGACGCTTTGCTTTACTACCTTATCAAGTACTTTTGACAGTTCTATCGTATTCATAATATCGTTTATTAAAGTTAGAATAAGTCAATGAGAACCTGTCTTCTTGATGATATCTCAATTATAGAATCATATTTGGCGTAAATAACCGCATTTATTGTGCGGAAAAATGTCATCAAGCTCTCTATAAAATATATGTATAAAGATGAACTGTTCCGTGCTCAAACAAGAATCCTGACATTCTAAAATCTTCCCCATTCAAACTGAGGCGCCCAAGCCTTTCGGTCCAGAAAATCAGCCAATGATGTTGGGGGAGTCTTCTTTCTGGGAGCCATACTCATTGCAACAGGATCTATAATTATACGTTGTTTTGTAGTCATTACTCCTAATTGATTACCTGCAACGTCCATGATTGTGATGCTGCAAAGATGGCGCTGTTGTTCTGCACGAAAATAGCTCTTTCCGATACAGATTTACCCAAAAAATCGTTCAGTCACGCTGTTCCACGCTCTCGGTCAGATGTAAGTCAAAAAACTAGCCCGCTATATATACAACCGATTGCTAAAGCCATTCCCAAACATCCGCTTTTAGAGGATAACACCGGACATCCCGTATATACAAACCCCCCTTTTCACACCCGTCTTCCCCTTTTGGTGTGCGACCCTCACCTAATAGAGGATGAGGCCGGACACACCCTAATACACACCCCCATTTTCACACCCCCATGTCTTTGTTGTTCAACCTTGCTATGACCCCAATTTTTTTTCTTTTTTTATTATTATTATTTTTATTAGTAATTAATTTTATTTTATTATTAATTTTTATATAATTTTTAATTATTTGATTAATTATTTTTTGATTAATACTTTTTTAATTAATCAAAAATGTATTCACGTGCACGTACATAATGTGCTTGCACGTTCAGATGCACACACTTTGCTGGCCTTTATTTACTACTTACAAGTTTGAATATTGTAAGAAGATTTTAAATCCTCCATGTTTGATCTGAAGTATCAAGGCAATTACAGGAAGTTTTAGTATTATTATTGCACTCATGTTGTACCTTACACCCTCAATTCTATAAGTCCTTTATTAATTAGGTTCATGTCAGAGAATGAATACAGCAACAAATATTTTAGAAGCTGCAACATGCAACAGCTCTGTGTGACTTTATATTAACAAACTCATTTTCCTGCTTTATCAGATGACTGATGTTTTCCAATTTCTGTAGGTTTGACTTTGTGGGATGAAGAAACTCTAAAAAAGAACACAGTTGAAAGCTCTCAGCACAGCAGTGCATTTGACACGTCTGCATCTGACTCCATTGAATCCAAGTCCTCTCTGCTGGGTGTTGATGCTTCTCTGAAGGTCAGTTATATGTGTGGACTGATTGAAGTTGGAGGATCTGCCAAGTATCTGAATGATACGAAGAAATTCAAGAATCAGAGCAGAGTGACGTGTCAGTACAAAGCTACCACACACTTCAGAAAGTTGTCAATGACTCACCTTACAACTATGGACACACAACAAATAGATGTTATTCAAAAGAGCTCTGCAACTCATGTAGTCACAGGCATCCTTTATGGAGCAAACGCTTTCTTTGTGTTTGACAGTGAGAAGTTAGACGCCAGCAGCGTTCAGGACTTTCAGGGCAGCATGGAAGCTGTGATACAGAAGATCCCCAAATGTAATGTTGACGGGAAAGTTGAACTCAAGCTGAGTAAAGAAAAAAAAGACCTGATTGAGAAATTCTCCTGCAAATTCTACGGAGACTTCATTCTTGAAAGCAACCCTGCAACATTTGAAGACGCAGTGAAGACCTACATACAACTTCCAAAGCTGCTGGGAGAAAAGGGAGAGAACGGTGTTCCACTGAAGGTCTGGCTGATGCCACTGAAGAAGTTTTATTCAGAAGCTGCTGAGCTGGTGAGAGAGATCAGTGTTGGACTAGTGAGCAAGATAGCGTATGCTCTGGAAGATTTAGGTCAAGTGGGAATGAGATGCAACGATTCTCTGGTCGACAGAGTGGTGGAGAATTTACCACTGATTCAAGAAGAGTTAAGCACTTTCCAAAAACTGTGTAATGATTATGCAACTAAACTCCAACAGACCATGGAGAAGAAACTTACCTCGATCAGAGCAGGTAAAGAAGATGAGAGCTCAACAGAAAAAGTCCTTGAAGACAGAGACAAGTCACCATTCAGTCATAAGAAACTAAGCAAGTGGATGGAAGACAAAGAGAGAGAAATCAACATCATCAGGTCCTGTGTAGAAAAGATGGAGGGAACAGAGATTGTCCAAAATCAGTCAGAGCTGGACAGAGAAGTTCTCGGTGTGGAGGATGCTCTGTGCTTTGTTTTCACCTCCATGGAAAGGGGGGACACCTACCTTGATGTGATAGCCGACTACTTGGACTCACATAAATTAGGAAGTACCTATGAAAGTCCGTGGTACTACTCAGAAGAAGTTGTAACCAAAATGAGTGAAAAAGCCAAAGATTTCTCTTATCTTGCCAAAGCACTGAAGAACAACAGCCGATTCGGTTTCCTCATAGCAGCCATAGCAAATAAGAAATACACAGGAGCAACCATCTACCATTACAGGGAGGGCATTCTGGTCTCTGAGGAGTTCTCAAAGCCTGACCTCCCTCCTGTGGAGAAAATCACAGACAGAAGAGATCTGATCTGGTGTAAGTACTTTTCCATGCTATTATTTGACAACAATGCTGTGTACAAATTCCTCTCATGCCTCCTAATCCCCAGAAACCTGCTTGATTATCAGAATGACTAAGGTGTGACGATACACTTAGGTCACGAGACGAGATGAGACACAATATTGGGTTCACGAGAATGGGACAACATTTTAATAGTATTTTTAAGAAATCTTTAATGCCAAGTTATATGAACATTTGGAGCATTTAACATTTTCCTGCAATCAGGTGAATTTTCCTGCACCACTTTATGGTGGAAATGCTTTTATTTATATAAAGGAAAACACAATATTCAGGGGCAGATGACAATTCAAAGTATAAAAATATAATGGAATATAATGCAGTAAGTCTCTCAGGTATGTATTCTCCTGTAGATAAAATTTTGTTATAGATCATCCCTGCTGAGTCAGCACACATGCAGGCATGATTTACTCCTGATTTAGTGTATAGTTTAGTTCCCTCCCCTTTTGTTTTGGCAAGTAACATCTTTAAATGTCATTTTGGCATCTGTTTACCTCAATTATAACTTAATTCATTTTAATTCAGTTGTAAACTAATAACTAAATAAATAGCTCAGTGTTTCAGAAAGTGCTCTGCTCATGTTAAAAAAAACATTCACAAACTTTTGAAAAAGTCTCATAATATTATGAGACTATTGTCATTATTTATTGAGAATTCACAATATTTTTTTTAAAAACAACTTAAGCACCTCTGCTAAAGTGCAAGTATGCACCTCAGTTTTAAAATCTACCACTCAGAAACTGTCTGCAGAGTGAGAGGGAGTCCACTTCGTTACCATCACAGCTGGGTGGAGATGATTCATACAGCGAGTTGACGTTATCAGTTGTGCATTTGTTTTTCACTGTGTGAGAAAATTAATGCGTGGGTGACAGCACTTCAGAGACAGCTTTTGCCCTATGAAGAAATTTCGGCATGTTATAAAATCGCAAGATCGCGTCACACTACTACTAATATCACACATTGTTTTGCTCTCTCCATCAGATGCCTGTGATCTCACCCTGGACCCAAACACTGTGAACAACTACCTCACTCTGTCTGACGAGAACAAAAAGGCAACATGTGGAGCGTGGCAGAGATATCCTGATCACCCGGAGAGGTTTGGTTCACGTCCTCAGGTGATGTGCAGACAGAGGTTAAAGGGGCGACATTACTGGGAGGTAGAATGGAGGAATTCTTTCTATGAATCTGTTTACACAGGTGTTGCGTACAAGGGAATTGAAAGAAAAGGAGACAGTTCACAGAGCGAGCTTGGAAGTAATACCATGTCGTGGTGTTTTGGCCAGTATGGCTTTCTGAAATCCACACTTCACGCATATCATAATGGCAGGGTGTGGAGCAATGCTTTTCCCTCTGACTGCAAAAGAGTTGGAGTGTTTCTGGACTGGCCTGCTGGCACTCTGTCCTACTACAGAGTCTCTGACAAACTGAGTCACCTCTACACCTTCAAGAACATTCAGTTCACTGAGCCTGTTTACCCGTGTTTCTCGGTTGGACAACGATACAATTATGTGTACCTTCGTCCATTCGAATAAGAGCACCGACAAAAGACTTGTTAGATTATCTGTATGTCAATAAGAATATGTGCTTACATGTAAAGTTTAAAGAGCAGCAACCCATTTTATTTTGAATGTACTTCACATATTCAAAACTGTATTCAAACCCAGATGGACCAGGATAATTGACGGTGCAACAAGGTGACTGTATTTGTAATTTTCTGTTTATCAGTTCATGTTGATTCTATGCTCAGCCTTCTTCTCAAACTGATTTATGCTTCACAGCTTCACAATGGCTTTAAATTTCCATTGATCATGACTTTACTATTCTTAATAGAGAATCACTAGTAACAGCATTTTGTTAGCTATGAAGTGTAACTATCTGCATATCTGCATCTGTCTGTATGGTGAATGTGTCCCCTTATGTCTATGGTGCAGGAAGCAAGGCTCAACCTCGCAGGACCTACTCTCACTCTGGTTTCTCTTTATTCTGGTGCTGGTATGAAAATCATCAGCATCTAGCTTGGAAGTGTTTTCCTTTTCTACAAAAGAAATGGTACTATAGTCTTTTTCTATACATTCTAGTATGAACTAACCACAGGATCATAGAGTGGTAATATTAAATATAATTTCTAAAAATCACCTAAGCATCAAGAGCAATTTACTTTTTTCACAATAACAAACCCGAAATTTAAGGATGTGATTCCTTCAGCTTTTAATTCATTATCAAGTCTCAAAATAACAGAGGACTGAAGCCTGTATCCCTCCTAGAAAGACGCACTCAGTTAGCCCAGCTTGCTAATGTTAGCACTGATTCTTACTAGCTGTTACTTCATGTTCATGTTATTTAAACACCTGCTGGGTGATCAGCATGTCCATCACACGCAGCGTTTTTTTCTTCCCCCATTACACATTACTATATATTGTATTATATTTTATCACTATTCCCCTTTAGTCAGGAATATGGGGGAAATTTACTATTAGTTAAAATCTTTTTTTGTACCAATATTATACTAGTGTACATAAAAAATAGTTAACAAAATTATAATTTTTTTGCCCCCATTCATAATGAGCTGAACTCAAAGATCTAATACAATATTAAGACTTTCTATGTTCACAAAAGGGCTATTTCTCTCAAATCATTCCCATAAATGTACCACTTAATTTTACCTTAGATAACTACACCTCTTCCCTTTTTTTTTTAAACCTACAATGACCCTAATACGCAGTTGTACCTTTCCATCTCAATCATGTTACAAATAAAATATGAGTCAATAAGATAAAATAGAGAATTACATCAAGAACACCGTAAAGTTACTTACAAATGCGTTCAGTGCACTGCCAAGATTTGGCCGTTTACGTTTTTTTATGCTTCTCATACTCTGAGATTATCGTTGGGCATTCTTCTGGGGAAAATACAGAGCATGCACATTTTTGAATAAATCTATACCTGCATAGCCTAAGATGCCCCTTTTATGCGAACATGGACTAAACTAACTTACTAAAATCTTATTCATTGAATTACCCTTTAACAACAAATTTGGCAGTCAGAGTTTGTCATACCCTCGAGTTAAATTCCCTTTGTAGTACAGGCCTCAGAATGGCTCTGAGAGAGAGAGATGTAACATGCTGGACTTATTACAGGACTCTGTCCACTGTCCAGAAGGAAACATGGCTGAGGAACAGCCAAAGAAGAAAACATCTGAAGAGCATAAAATTTTGAAACAAGTTATTTGACCAGACAAGGGAAAGACCAAAGTTAACATCCTTGACATAGAGTTGATCAGGTTGTTGATTGCGGTCTGTGGAATGTTGGTCCACTCCTCTTCAATGGCTGTGTGAAGTTGCAGTCAGGTCGAGACCCCAATGAGGATGACGAGCATGCAGATGAGCTTCCCTGAGACGGTTCCTGACAGTTTGTGCAGAAATTCTCTCTCTCTCTATATATATATATATATATATATAATGGCGCCACTTGAAGCGACACTACTGCCCAACACTGAGTATAGTAACTGGTTCTGCATGCAGTGGCACAAACTAACACCAATTCCCAATTACTGCGGTAAAGCACAATAATTATCACTTTATCACACAAGAACAGAGAGCAAGCTTGTATTTGGCAGTCATGTTACTGGAATTTGGACTTGACCCTTATCAGCAACCATTAAAAAACTGGAAACTAGTCAAGTATTTATTCCAGAGAAAAGCTCATGGGAAGTTCTTATCTCATATCTCTTCATTTCTGTGGAAAAACCTCTGACAGCATACTATGAACTTTTACCACATCTTCCTCAAAAAGCCTCATTATTATCAGGTTACTACCCAATTAGAGGGACACTAAGCACTGAGCGCATTTGTAAGTAACTTTACGGTGTTCTTGATGTAATTCTCTATTTTATCTTAGTGACTCATTTTATTTGTAATATGATTGAGATGGAAAGGTAAAAAAAAGGAACCACATCACTTCACTTTGCAAGGCTGAACTACACGCCATTAGGCAAAACTTTCTATAGGGGAGACCGGGGGCAATTGTAACAATTTTTGGTTTCTTGGTTATAACTTGAACTAATTGGATACAATTTTTATAGAGGTAACTTGTACCTGTGTTTTACTTGTTAACGGTCATCAAATGTTTTTACAAGCAATGTTAAAGTCACAATATTGATTCAAACACTAGATGTAAAATGTTACATCTGCCCCCACGTGCAGGGGTGATTGTAACAACACACAAATTTCCTTCATATAGATACCAAGGATCAAAATGAACTACCAAGAATATAGATATAATTTAAAAATTAAGATCCATTGATATTACTGCTTGAAACTTCTCCCTTGTTATTAAGGACACATGACAAATGTCAGAGCACTGAGTTGCCCCTCAACACATCATCGGAGGCAACATCCCCAAATTGAGAGGCAAAAACTTGAACCTCTGGACTATGCCAATAAGTAACAGGCCTATTGACAACACATTATACATAGTAAAGTAGGTTATAGATCATTCATATACATAAATGTTTAAACTGAACATTGTTAGAAAGATGCTATCATCTATTCTTTTTATATTGAGCTTCAATATAATGCTACTATTACAAACCAAAAATCTAAACAATGTTGATCTCTTGATAAATATGTTGATAGATTATTATTACAGTATTTAACATTGCGACAACTTCTCATTTGTAGACGCTGAAGATATTAAAAGTATGAGCAATTGGCTCTTGCTGGGAATGAATTGAACCCGGTTCCCAGAATGAAAAGGCCAAAGATTTAACTATTGGACTATGCTGCAAAAGACATATTATAATATAGATATTTAAACTGACCACAACACTTTCCTTAAAATTATCAGGAAAAAAACTATATATTTTATGTACTTTCTAAGCCGGAAACTATTTTAATTGGTTTCGGGGGCAATTGCAACACAGTGTTATAATTGCCCCCAACTGTAAGTCCTCCATGACAAGCTACCCTGCTGGCTAGAAACAATGAAGTTTATATTTGAGATATATAGACATGCAGGGTATCAAATGAAAGGTCTGCTCAAGCTGGATCGATTGATACCCCCATCACTGTGGGATGTTCCGTTCTCAATCTGCCTGTAAAGCATGGGAGTGCATTTGGTGACAGGAATGTTGATGAATACTCCTGTTTTTATCAATATTTCAATGTTTTGTCATTTGGAAATTGGTTGTATGGACTGAAGAAGTGTTTAAAATATATCTATCAATAAAAGTCCGCATTTTAACAATAAATATTGCCAAAATGTGGAAATTCTCCTGGTACATTTGAAAATGTTGTATGATAACTGTTGTATTTTAGTTTATTTTCATCAGATTTACAGTTACAATGGCATTCTAGGTGTATTAGAAAATTTTCAGTTGCATTAAAAGCTTCCTCAGGATGGTTTTGCTGGTTTATTACATTGCTTTTTTTTACCAGGCGAGGATAAAAATATCAGATTTTTTCTTTACTGCATATCCATGTAGTCTGTAAAAGTAAAATAAATATATTAATACACAATGGATTTATATTCCTTAGCTTCTGACTTTTCAAAGGAGACCAGAATTATGCATTTAGGCTAAATGGTTGAGGAGTTATTCCTGATTCATTTTGGGTTTGTTATTTTAGGCGTTTCTTCTGGAAAAAGGGGCCTGTTTTCAACAGGCTAATATTGTATTATAGTTTATCACTATTCCCCTTTAGTCAGGAATATGGGGAAAATGTACTATTAGTTAAAAACTTTTTTTTGTACAAATATTATACTACTGTACATAAAAACTTGTTAACAAAATTAGAAATGCAACACTTGTGTTTTTGCCTCCATTCATAATAAGCTGAACTCAAAGATCTAAGACTTTCTCTGTGTACACAAAAGGCCTATTTCTCTCAAATATTTTCACAAATCTGTTAAAATCTGTGTTAGTGAGCACTTCTCCTTTGCCGAGATAATCCATCCACCTCACAGGTGTGGCATATCAAGATGCTGATCAGACAGCATGGGGATTGTTTTTTGTCTTTTTGTCTTTATCACACAAGAACCGAGAGCAAGCTTGTATTTGGCAGCCATGTTACTGGACTTTGGACTTGACCCTTATCAGCAACCATTAAAAAACTGGAAACTAGTCGAGTATTTATTCCAGAGAAAAGCTCATGGGAAGGTCTTATCTCATATCTCTTCATTTCTGTGGAAAAACCTCTGACAGCATACTATGAACTTTTACAACATCTTCCTCAAAAAGTAGCAGTCATGATCCTCACAATGCTGCCCGCTTTATCCAGGTGTGAGTGAGTGAGCTGAAGATTTGTACAGTATTATCTTGAAACAAAAGGGAATCTTTAGACCATAACGGAGGATTAATTTCAACATAATAATATGGATATTATCAATTTTGACTTCCAAAAATTTTCATGTGATTTTAAACATATTACGCTGATGGTAGCTTACAATATTGTCAAAGCATCAACCTATATTACCTCATTATTATCAAGTTACTACCCAATTAGAGGGACACTAAGTACTGAGCGCATTTGTAAGTAACTTTACGGTGTTCTTGATGTAATTCTCTATTTTATCTTAGGGACTCATTTTATTTGTAATATGATTGAGATGGAAAGGTAAAAAAAAAAGGAACCACATCACTTCACTTTGCAAGGCTGAACTAAACGCCATTAGGGAAAACTTTCTATAGGGGAGACCGGGGGCAATTGTAACAATTTTTGGTTTCTTGGTTATAACTTGAACTAATTGGATACAATTTTTATAGAGGTAACTTGTACCTGTGTTTACTTGTTAACGGTCATCAAATGTTTTTACAAGCAATGTTAAAGTCACAATATTGATTCAAACACTAGATGTAAAATGTTACATCTGCCCCCACGTGCAGGGGTGATTGTAACAACACACAGATTTCCTTCATATAGATACCAAGGATCAAAATGAACTACCAAGAATATAGATATAATTAAAAAAAAATTAAGACCCATTGATATTACTGCTTGAAACTTCTCCCTTGTTATTAAGTGGTACAAGGACACATGACAAATGTCAGAGCACTGAGTTGCCCCTCAACACATCATCGGAGGCAACATCCCCAAATTGAGAGGCAAAAACTTGAACCTCTGGACTATGCCAATAAGTAACAGGCCTATTGACAACACATTATACATAGTAAAGTAGGTTATAGATCATTCATATACATAAATGTTTAAACTGAACATTGTTAGAAAGATGCTATCATCTATTCTTTTTATATTGAGCTTCAATATAATGCTACTATTACAAACCAAAAATCTAAACAATGTTGATCTCTTGATAAATATGTTGATAGATTATTATTACAGTATTTAACATTGCGACAACTTCTCATTTGTAGACACTGAAGATATTAAAAGCATGAGCAATTGGCTCTTGCTGGGAATGAATTGAACCCGGTTCCCAGAATGAAAAGGCCAAAGATTTAACTATTGGACTATGCTGCAAAAGACATATTATATAATATAGATATTTAAACTGACCACAACACTTTCCTTAAAATTATCAGGAAAAAAACTATATATTTTATGTACTTTCTAAGCCGGAAACTATTTTAATTGGTTTCGGGGGCAATTGCAACACAGTGTTATAATTGCCCCCAACTGTAAGTCCTCCATGACAAGCTACCCTGCTGGCTAGAAACAATGAAGTTTATATTTGAGATATATAGACATGCAGGGTATCAAATGAAAGGTCTGCTCAAGCTGGATCGATTGATACCCCCATCACTGTGGGATGTTCCGTTCTCAATCTGCCTGTAAAGCATGGGAGTGCATTTGGTGACAGGAATGTTGATGAATACTCCTGTTTTATCAATATTTCAATGTTTTGTCATTTGGAAATTGGTTGTATGGACTGAAGAAGTGTTTAAAATATATCTATCAATAAAAGTCCGCATTTTAACAATAAATATTGCCAAAATGTGGAAATTCTCCTGGTACATTTGAAAATGTTGTATGATAACTGTTGTATTTTAGTTTATTTTCATCAGATTTACAGTTAAAATGGCATTCTAGGTGTATTAGAAAATTTTCAGTTGCATTAAAAGCTTCCTCAGGATGGTTTTGCTGGTTTATTACATTGCTTTTTTTACCAGGCGAGGATAAAAATATCAGATTTTTTCTTTACTGCATATCCATGTAGTCTGTAAAAGTAAAATAAATATATTAATACACAATGGATTTATATTCCTTAGCTTCTGACTTTTCAAAGGAGACCAGAATTATGCATTTAGGCTAAATGGTTGAGGAGTTATTCCTGATTCATTTTGGGTTTGTTATTTTAGGCGTTTCTTCTGGAAAAAGGGGCCTGTTTTCAACAGGCTAATATTGTATTATAGTTTATCACTATTCCCCTTTAGTCAGGAATATGGGGAAAATGTACTATTAGTTAAAAACTTTTTTTTGTACAAATATTATACTACTGTACATAAAAACTTGTTAACAAAATTAGAAATGCAACACTTGTGTTTTTGCCTCCATTCATAATAAGCTGAACTCAAAGATCTAAGACTTTCTCTGTGTACACAAAAGGCCTATTTCTCTCAAATATTTTCACAAATCTGTTAAAATCTGTGTTAGTGAGCACTTCTCCTTTGCCGAGATAATCCATCCACCTCACAGGTGTGGCATATCAAGATGCTGATCAGACAGCATGGGGATTGTTTTTTGTCTTTTTGTCTTTATCACACAAGAACCGAGAGCAAGCTTGTATTTGGCAGCCATGTTACTGGACTTTGGACTTGACCCTTATCAGCAACCATTAAAAAACTGGAAACTAGTCGAGTATTTATTCCAGAGAAAAGCTCATGGGAAGGTCTTATCTCATATCTCTTCATTTCTGTGGAAAAACCTCTGACAGCATACTATGAACTTTTACAACATCTTCCTCAAAAAGTAGCAGTCATGATCCTCACAATGCTGCCCGCTTTATCCAGGTGTGAGTGAGTGAGCTGAAGATTTGTACAGTATTATCTTGAAACAAAAGGGAATCTTTAGACCATAACGGAGGATTAATTTCAACATTATAATATGGATATTATCAATTTTGACTTCCAAAAATTTTCATGTGATTTTAAACATATTACGCTGATGGTAGCTTACAATATTGTCAAAGCATCAACCTATATTACCTCATTATTATCAAGTTACTACCCAATTAGAGGGACACTAAGCACTGAGCGCATTTGTAAGTAACTTTACGGTGTTCTTGATGTAATTCTCTATTTTATCTTAGTGACTCATTTTATTTGTAATATGATTGAGATGGAAAGGTAAAAAAAAGGAACCACATCACTTCACTTTGCAAGGCTGAACTAAACGCCATTAGGCAAAACTTTCTATAGGGGAGACCGGGGGCAATTGTAACAATTTTTGGTTTCTTGGTTATAACTTGAACTAATTGGATACAATTTTTATAGAGGTAACTTGTACCTGTGTTTTACTTGTTAACAGTCATCAAATGTTTTTACAAGCAATGTTAAAGTCACAATATTGATTCAAACACTAGATGTAAAATGTTACATCTGCCCCCACGTGCAGGGGTGATTGTAACAACACACAGATTTCCTTCATATAGATACCAAGGATCAAAATGAACTACCAAGAATATAGATATAATAAAAAAAAAATTAAGACCCATTGATATTACTGCTTGAAACTTCTCCCTTGTTATTAAGGACACATGACAAATGTCAGAGCACTGAGTTGCCCCTCAACACATCATCGGAGGCAACATCCCCAAATTGAGAGGCAAAAACTTGAACCTCTGGACTATGCCAATAAGTAACAGGCCTATTGATAACACATTATACATAGTAAAGTAGGTTATAGATCATTCATATACATAAATGTTTAAACTGAACATTATTAGAAAGATGCTATCATCTATTCTTTTTTAAATTGAGCTTCTATAATGCTACTATTACAAACCAAAAATCTAAACAATGTTGATCTCTTGATAAATATGTTGATAGATTATTATTACAGTATTTAACATTGCGACAACTTCTCATTTGTAGACACTGAAGATATTAAAAGCATGAGCAATTGGCTCTTGCTGGGAATGAATTGAACCCGGTTCCCAGAATGAAAAGGCCAAAGATTTAACTATTGGACTATGCTGCAAAAGACATATTATATAATATAGATATTTAAACTGACCACAACACTTTCCTTAAAATTATCAGGAAAAAAACTATATATTTTTATGTACTTTCTAAGCCGGAAACTATTTTAATTGGTTTCGGGGGCAATTGCAACACAGTGTTATAATTGCCCCCAACTGTAAGTCCTCCATGACAAGCTACCCTGCTGGCTAGAAACAATGAAGTTTATATTTGAGATATATAGACATGCAGGGTATCAAATGAAAGGTCTGCTCAAGCTGGATCGATTGATACCCCCATCACTGTGGGATGTTCCGTTCTCAATCTGCCTGTAAAGCATGGGAGTGCATTTGGTGACAGGAATGTTGATGAATACTCCTGTTTTTATCAATATTTCAATGTTTTGTCATTTGGAAATTGGTTGTATGGACTGAAGAAGTGTTTAAAATATATCTATCAATAAAAGTCCGCATTTTAACAATAAATATTGCCAAAATGTGGAAATTCTCCTGGTACATTTGAAAATGTTGTATGATAACTGTTGTATTTTAGTTTATTTTCATCAGATTTACAGTTACAATGGCATTCTAGGTGTATTAGAAAATTTTCAGTTGCATTAAAAGCTTCCTCAGGATGGTTTTGCTGGTTTATTACATTGCTTTTTTTTACCAGGCGAGGATAAAAATATCAGATTTTTTCTTTACTGCATATCCATGTAGTCTGTAAAAGTAAAATAAATATATTAATACACAATGGATTTATATTCCTTAGCTTCTGACTTTTCAAAGGAGACCAGAATTATGCATTTAGGCTAAATGGTTGAGGAGTTATTCCTGATTCATTTTGGGTTTGTTATTTTAGGCGTTTCTTCTGGAAAAAGGGGCCTGTTTTCAACAGGCTAATATTGTATTATAGTTTATCACTATTCCCCTTTAGTCAGGAATATGGGGAAAATGTACTATTAGTTAAAACCTTTTTTTTTGTACAAATATTATACTACTGTACATAAAAAATTGTTAACAAAATTATAAATGCAACACTTGTGTTTTTGCCTCCATTCATAATAAGCTGAACTCAAAGATCTAAGACTTTCTCTGTGTACACAAAAGGCCTATTTCTCTCAAATATTTTCACAAATCTGTCAGAATCTGTGTTAGTGAGCACTTCTCCTTTGCTGAGATAATCCATCCACCTCACAGGTGTGGCATATCAAGATGCTGATCAGACAGCATGGGGATTGTTTTTTGTCTTTTTGTCTTTATCACACAAGAACCGAGAGCAAGTTGTATTTGGCAGTCATGTTACTGGACTTTGGTCTTGATACATTTACATTTACTCATTTGGCAGACGCTTTTATCCAAAGCGACTTACATTTGAGGAACAACATACAAGCATCAACAGAGCATCAAATACAGGTCAACATTATTTGGCAGTCATGTTACTGGAATTTGGTCTGACCCTTATCAGCAACCATTAAAAAACTGGAAACTAGTCAAGTATTTATTCCAGAGAAAAGCTCATGGGAAGTTCTTATCTCATAAATCTTCATTTCTGTGGAAAAACCTCTGACAGCATACTATGAACTTTTACAACATCTTCCTCAAAAAGTAGCAGTCATGATCCTCACAATGCTGCCCGCTTTATCCAGGTGTGAGTGAGTGAGCTGAAAATTAGTAGTATTATCATAACGGAGGATTAATTTCAACATTATAATATGGATATTATCAATTTTGACTTCCAAAAATGTTCATGTGATTTTAAACATATTACGCTAGAAAGATTGTTGATATTTGAACCCAACTAAAAAAAAGGAACCACATCACTTTACACACCATTAGGAAACATTTCTATATCTATATCTATGTGATTTCATCAGCTTTTAATTCATTATCAAGTCACAAAGTAACAGAGGACTCCTATGCTAATTTCAGTCCCTCCCAAACTGATCATCTTGTGGATAGTGCTGCGAATGACACTCAATTCTGTTGCCCCTCTAAAAAAGAAGATAATAAAACAAAGACTGTTAGCTCCATGGTATAACACTGAAACTCACAAATTAAAGCAAATATTGCAGACATTTGAGAGGAATTGGCGTTCCACCAAACTGGAAAATCCTCGTTAAATTTTTGCAAGATAGTCTTAAAACTTATAGGAATTCAGATTTGTGAACAATATTTGAGAGAAATAGGCCTTTTGTGTGCATAGAGAAAGTCTTAGATCTTTGAGTTCAGCTCATGATGAATGGGGGCAAAAACACAAGTGTTGTTTTTATAATTTTGTTCAGTGTATGTGAAAACATTTAGGATAATTGTTAAAAAGGCCAGCAACACTTGAAACCTTCCCTATCTTTAAGTGGTACTTTCCACCCCGCTCCTAGAGTGATATGTTCTGTCTGCCCAGTGCAGTTCAAGATCATGGAGAGATCTGAGAGTTCCAGTAATTAGTCCAATTAAGTTAAAAAAGCCTTTATTTCTGACTGTTGTGTGCGTCCATTGAACTGTAGGCACTTTAAGTCTCATATTAATATAGTTTGGGAATAATTTTCCCACAATCTTTAAGGTACAAGGTGGGTTTATTTGTCACATTACAACACGTTGTAAAGTGAAATGAAGTTTGTAACTCCCTTCTGCTATGTAGCAGACAATATACAGTAATACACGTATACGATATCACTGATGCTCAGGAGATGGGTACCAATGATCTTCTGAGCAGTTTTAATCACCCGCTGCAGAGCCCTCCGGTCCTGCGCCGTGCACATCCCACGCCAGTTTGTGATGTTTTTCATTCAGGATGCTTTCTATTGCTCCTCTGAAAAAGCTGACAAGAACTTGGTTGTAATGTTAATTCCCAAGAACCTTTTGAATGTAGTTTCCCTATAATAAATCTTTTTTTTATTTCCCTGTTACATTTCATTCTAATATTACCACATATACTCATTGCTAATACCAAGCTATTACCTGGTCATTACTTTGGTGATTACATATATTACTTAATCATTACCTCTTATTATCAAACTATTACCCCGCTATTACCATGTTATTACCAAGCTGTAATGTGCTACCAAAACATATATAAAGATTGATTTGGACACAATTTGGACAAAGTTAATCCATAGTGTTTGTGAATTCAATCCCTCTGTTCTTTATAAATCTAAGTTAGACCAATAAGCCTTAACATATCTAATCTATATGCACTGTGTGTTCTGACACCGTTCTATTAGAATCAGCATCAACTTTTCAACAATTTCATCACAATTTGGCCCTTGTAAAAGTTGCTCAAATACTTGAGCCTGGCCATTTTTCCTTCACATTACACAATAACCATGAGAACACAATGTTCACCTGCTGCCTAATATATCCCACCCACTGACAGATGGCATGGTAACAAGATAATCAGTGTTATTCACTTCACATGTTACGACATTACTTTATGAAATGATTGTTGTCATGGGAGGCGTGTCATGGGAGGAGTCAGTAGTAGAGAGTATATGCACCATCACAGATCATCACACTTGCAGCTCCAGTTGAAAGTCAAGAAGACAACTTCAGCAGCTGAGGACAAACTGGGTGGACGGAGACAGAGGGAGACAAAAACAGAGATATATTTGAAGGCTGTGTGGTCACTTAAGACTTAAGGTTGGAGAAATGGCCGCAGATAACATGAAGGTTGCTGCTCTGGGTCGACCTTTCACCCTAGGAATGCTCTATGATGCTCGGAAAGATCAACTAATCCCAGGTAAGTCTTCATTTAGACTATTTTGAAAGATATCTGCCTGCCACAGCTCTGCTTACAGGAGCCTTGAACCTATTTTAACTTCACCTATTCATCATTCATACACACTATTAAAATATTTAGTAAATACTTTGTAATTAGGACATGCAAGGACCCTATTGAAACTGAATGAATTGGATTTCGCATTTTTGTTTGCCCAAAAGTGTCATATGATTTTCGCGTATGGGTGGGCCACATTTCACCAAAATGTACGAAATGTACGAAAAACTATCTCAGAAAACACATTGATGATGTCATGTTGTATAGCTTGTGAGTTTTCCTTCAACAGCATTTCCATGGTGTGGCGGCGAAGTCCCATGCTTCACCATTAAAAACAGAAAGTCATCATAACTTCACTGTACATGCTCAAATCTGTACCAAATTTTACGCGGTCCCGCCCCGAATACAATAGTCAGTTATATATTTTTTTGTTGTTTTTTCAGTCACTTATAGTTGTAGCGCCACCTACTGGCATAAGGAAGTAAGCTCTGTGTGACACTTCACACAATTTAAATAAACTTTTCACGATGAATTGACGTACTGGGACATAACGTATAGTTACCAGATGCTCTCTAGTGCCACATAGGGGACACAGGAAGTTCTTTCTGATTTTAAGCCCGTAATTATGCATGTGGAGCCATTTTACACATGGTTAGGGAACTTCTGGCCGGAACATGTAGAAATTTAAATTATTACAATTTCTGTTTTGTGATTTCCCTGCTTTATCAGATGATTGATATTTACTATTTCTGTAGGTTTGACTTTGTGGGATGATAAAACTCTACAAGAGAACACAGTTGAAAGCTCTCAGCACAGCAGCGCATTTGACACGTCTGCATCTGACTCCATTGAATCCAAGTCCTTTCTGCTGGATGTTGATGCTTCTCTGAAGGCCAGTTTCCTGGGTGGACTGATTGAAGTTGGAGGATCTGCCAAGTATCTGAATGATAAGAAGAAATTCAAGAATCAGAGCAGAGTGACATTTCAGTACAAAGCTACCACACACTTCAAACAGTTGTCAATGACTCACCTTGTAACCATGGATGCCAAACAGACAGATGTTATTAAGAAGGCCTCTGCAACTCATGTAGTCACAGGCATCCTTTATGGAGCAAACGCTTTCTTTGTGTTTGACAGTGAGAAGTTAGACGCCAGCAGCGTTCAGAACATCCAGGGCAGCATGGAAGCTGTGATAAAGAAGATCCCCTCATTTAATATTGAGGGGAAAGTTGAACTAAAGCTAAATGATGAAGAAAAAGCTCTGACTGAGAAAGTCTCCTGCAAATTCTACGGAGACTTCATTCTTGAAAGCAACCCTGCAACATTTGAAGACGCAGTGAAGACCTATGTAGATCTTCCAAAGCTGTTGGGAGGAAACGGAGAGAGGAGTGTTCCACTGAAGGTCTGGCTGATGCCACTGAAGAATTTGGATCCCGAGGCTCCTGAGCTGATGAGTGGGATCAGCATTGGATTAGTGAGGAAGGCTCAAAATGCTCTAGAAGATTTAAAGCAAATAGTAATGAGATGCAATGATGTTCTGGACAGAGAGCATTTTCCACAGATTGAAGAAAAGTTAAGCAGATTCCAGAATGTGTGTAAATATTATGCAGCTAAACTCCAGCAGACCATGGAGAAGAAATTTCCCCTCATCCGTGATGGTAAAGAAGATGAGAGCTCCACAAAACAACTCTTTGAAGACAGAGACAAGTCACCGTTCAGCCATGAGAAACTAAGCAAGTGGATGGACCATAAAGAGAGAGAAATCAACATCATCAGGTCCTGTGTAGAAAAGATGGAGGGAACACAGATTGTCCACAATCAGTCAGAGCTGGACAGAGAGGTTCTTGCTGCAGATGTGGAGGATGCTCTGTGCTTTGTTTTCACCTCCCTGGAGAGTGCTGATCCCTGCCTTGATGTGATGGCCGACTACTTGGATTCACTCAACTTAGAATGTACCCATGAAGACCCGTGGTACTTCTCAGATGAAGTTTTTACCAAAATGAGAGAAAAAGCCAAATCTTTCTCTTATCTTGCCAAAGCACTGAAGAACAACAGCCGATTCTGTTTCCTCATAGCAGCCATAGCAAATAAGAAATACACAGGAGCAACCATCTACCATTACAAGGAGGGCATTCTGGTCTCTGAGGATTTCTCTAAGCCTGACCTCCCTCCTGTGGAGAAAATCACTGACAGAAGAGATTTGATCTGGTGTAAGTACTTTTCTATGCTTTTTAAATCAAAAATATAGTGTAAACATTCCTCTCCTCTAGAAACCCTTTTTAACATCAGCACATTTTGTTTTGCTTTTCCATGCTTTTATGAGTTTAAAAAGCAGAAGTAGAAATTCTTCTCCTCTAGAAACCTGTTTGAACATCAGAATGACTAATAACACAGTTTGTTTTGCTCTCTCCATCAGATGCCTGTGATCTCACCCTGGACTCGGACACTGTGAACGGCTACCTCACTCTGTCTGAGGGAAACAAAAAGGCAACATGTGGAGCGTGGCAGACGTATCCTGATCACCCAGAGAGGTTTGATACACATACTCAGGTGATGTGCAAAGAGAGGTTAAAGGGGCGACATTACTGGGAGGTAGAGTGGAGTGTCATGTCTAAAGCATCAGTTTACATAGGTGTTGCATACAATGTAATCGAAAGAAAAGCAATGGATGAACAAAGCCAGCTTGGGAACAACACCATTTCATGGTGTTTTGGCCAAGGTAATTCCTCACTTTGCGCATTTCATAATGGCAGGGTGTGGAGTCATTCTTTTCCCTCTACTGGCTGCAACAGAGTTGGGGTGTTTCTGGATTGGCCTGCTGGAACTCTGTCCTACTACAGAGTCTCCTCTGACTCACTGAGTCACCTCTACACCTTTAAAACCACATTCACTGAGCCAGTTTACCCATGTTTCTGGGTTAATCAAAATTACAACTACGTGCACCTGCATCTGGCTGATTAAGAGCGATGAGAAAGAGTTGATAGATCCTTTGTCTGTTCAGTGACATGGGTTTACATTTAAAATTTAAAGTGCAACTAAACATCATATTTTAGCTTGAACCTGCTTCACAAATTTCAAAACTGCATTCAGCCCCAGAGAGACCAGGATAATTGATGATGTAAAAAAAAAAACACATCTCATTTTCTGTTTATCTGTTCATGGTGATTCTTTGCTCAGCCTTCTTTAAAACTGATTTGTGTTTCACAGCTTCAGAATAACTTATTTTATTTGTTGCAAGTTTCTATTGTAATTGCTTATAGTTAAAGATACAGAGGATATATCAATACACAATTACAACGTCAACGCTAGTATGTTGAAATAGAAAAGAAAACCTTTACATAAATGAATTGAATTGTTGAATTTCCCATGTTGATTATGTTTGGACATAAGGTAGCTAATGTGCCTATTATTTAATTTAGCATTTGTTATTTTCTTCGTTTACAGTATTTTAAAAAATAATTAGGAATATTGTAGTTTTTTCCCATCTACACCTTAAACCTAACCTAGAGTTCAATATATGACTATACTGTTCTGAGCATAGAATCACTGTTAACACCTTTTCTTTTAGCTGTAAAGCACATTACTGAAGCACTGTAATTTTCTATGTATTAGTTCATGTTTATTCAATGATCAGCCATCTTCTCAGATTTCTCAGATTTATTTTTTATTGTTACTTTCTAATTCTTGATACAGAGCTCATATCTATACACAATTGTTATAGTGTAATAGTGTCAACACTAGTATGTCGAAACTGATACTCACAGCTCATGTAAAAGATGATTTACCTGTTTTGTTGAATCTATAATGTTCATTATGTTGGGACATAAAGTAGCTAACCTGTCTATTGTTTAATTTAGCATTGGTTCATATTCTTCTTTGTGTTATATTTTAAAAACAATTATCTTTTTGGAATACAAGATTAATCTTTTGTTTTTATTGTCTACACCTTAACTCTGACCTACGGTTCAATTGATGCTTTTACTGTTCTGATGAGAGAGTCACTGTTTTCTTAGATGTTAGGCACATTGCTGGTGTTCACATAGTTGAAGCAATGTAATTTTCTATGTTGAGTCTATGCACAGCCTTCCTCTCAAATTGATTTATGCTTCACAGTCAGTTTAAACTTGTAATACTTTACTACATTACAGATTGTATATTGATTGATTGATTGATTTATTGTTACTTTCTAATTCCTGATACTTAAAGAATACAGAGCTTATATCAATACACAAAATTATAATTCCAAAGGTACTGTGTTTAAAGTGATACTCATTTGTTCATGTCAGTATATATTTTAGCTAAATTTATCATGTTGATTATGTTTGGCATGAGATTAATTTGCCTATTGCCTATCCAGCATTGGTTCATTTTCTTCTTTGTGCAGTATCTTAAAAATAATAATCTTTTCAGAATACAACATTAATCTTTTTGTTTATATCAAGTCTACACCTTAACCCTGACATAGGACTTGACTGTTCTGAGCAGAGAGTCACTGTTAACACATTGCTGATTTTTATAGAGCTGAAGCAATGTCAGATTCCTTTTTCATTTTATGTTGAGCAGAATATTCAATAAAGTGTAGAGATGAGTTTACCACTGTGTGCTGCTTTGTTATCCCCACTCTCTCTCTCTCTCCCACATTTCCTGTTACATTTTCATACCCATTAAGCTGCTGTCATCAGTTGCTGTAATTTTAATTAATCTTGATGTAATTCAACATTTGCAAAGCTTGTTAGCACTGATTTGCAAAGCTTGTTAGCACTGATTCTTACTTAAAGTTACATTTTGTTCATGTTTTTTTAACACATTATTTAGTCAGTAATGAATGTGGGGAAATTGCAGTATTAGTTTTTGCACCAACATTATACTAATGTACATAAAAGACATGTATGTCCACTGACTTAGAATATTTCACGGTATATACATTTGTTATTTAAATTTATTGTGTTATTTTTCCTCTTATTCAATCTGCTTATAACTTTCTGAATATGATTTAAACTTGCTCTACACAATGCAACAGTTTCAAATTCTACTTTTCTCCATCTTTACTTCTGGAGACAAAGCTGATTTTCGCACATTGTGGGTGTAAATAAGAGTGAAAAATGTCTTTGAATGTGAAAAAGTACAAACAGGTGTTACGGGAGATAATAACAGAGCTCCACAAACCCTATTGTAGTTATAAAAAGAAGAAAGAAGAACAATTGCTAAATTATACAAGAGACACAAATATCACACCATTACTACCTTGATATATTAATCAGCTTGGCTAAGGTCCATGAAAGGTGTTTACGACTTAAGACTGTGTGGTGTTAAAATAAAAGTAAATGTAAAGCATTGGAAGTTACATCAGGTTAAATTAAATATATTTCTTGTCAGCAGTATTTAAGTTTATGCTGCATGCTGTTCTAAAATGTAATACATACTTCAAAGTTATTTGTGTTTGGATGTCAAACCATATCAAAGCAAACTAATGAAATCCAAAAGCTGGATTGTTGCTCTAAGTATAACCCCACTGCACTGTGATGAGTGTATCTCGACATTTTGATCAGTGCCTAGAAAATACAGTGGCCCAATCTCTATTTGACCAGATAAATCACTGGGATGTTCACGTTGCTAAACTGAGTGTTTGACCTATAAATAAAAAATAATCTGTTTTTTTTTTAACTTAACTGTTGAATCCTGTTTTTAAGGTGGAATGACCCTTTGGTTTACATTTTGATAAAGTATTGTGCCGTCAATAATAATCATATTTTCGTTTTATAAATGTAGGCACTAAAAATGGCACTGTTACAAGCTATTTTGACTTTCTTTTGACTTAATTGAGCATAAACTGCAACATATTTGATTACTGTTATAATTAGTAATACAAAAGAAATTTACTTTTACTAATTTAGTATCCAACTGAATTATGTCATTTAGTATTGTGTGTGTGTTTAGTTCTGTTGGGTCATGGGGCCTAAGAATAAGTTTATGTTAATGCTGATCTGGATTCTGATGTTGATCAGGAGACACATACAGTATATATATACATACACTCACCAGCCACTTTATTAGGTACGCCTTGCTAGTACCGAGTTGGACCCCCTTTTGCCTTCAGAACTGCCTTAATTTTTCGTGGCATACTTTCAAAAAGGTGTTGGAAACATTTCTCAGAGACTTCAGATAGCATCACGCAGTTGCTACAGATTTGTCGGCTGCACATCCATGATGCGACTCCCCTGTTCCACCACATCCTGAAGGTTTTTGCATTGCGTTCTGGTGACTGTGGAGGCCACTGAAGTACAGTGAACTCATTTTCACGTTCAAGAAGCCAGTTTGAGATGATTCGAGCTTTGTGACATGGTGCATTATCCTGCTGGAAGTAGCCATCAGAAGATGGGGACACTGTGGTGATAAAGGGATGGACATGGTCAGCAACAATACTCAGGTAGGCTGTTGAGTTTAAATGATGCTCAATTGGCACCAAGGGGTCCAAAGTGTGCCAAGAAAATATCCCACCACCACCAGCAGCCTCAACCTTTGATACAAGGCAGGATGGATCCATGCTTTCATGTTGTTTACACCAAATTCTGACCCTACCATCTGAATGTTGTAGCTGAAATCGAGACTCATCAGAGCAGGCAACGTATTTCCAATCTTCTATTGTCCAATTTTGGTGAGCCTGTGTGATTTGTAGCCTAAGTTTCCTGTTCTTAGTTGACAGGAGCGGCACCCGGTGTGGTCTTCTGCTGCTGCAGCCTATCTGCTTCAAGGTTCAAGGTGTTGTGCGTTCAGAGATGGTATTCTGCATACCTCGGTTGTAACGAGTGCTTATTTGAGTGGATATTTTCTCTTTTTTGGACACTTCTCTGTAAACCCTAGAGATGGTTGAGCGTGAAAATCCCAGTAGATCAGCAGTTTCTGAAACACTCAGACCAGCCCGTCTGGCACCAACAACCATACCACGTTGAAAGTCATTTAAATCCCCACCCCCGGTGATAGGAGGGGTCACTAGGTTATCTTGATAGTACATAAGTAATCACTCAAACTCACAGACCATCAGACTGGAAGCTGCAGACTTCATCAACTTCATCAGGTGAGAACAAACCAGGTGGAGAGAGACTTTTACTGAACCTTTGTTTATGCAAAAGTGGTTTTTTGACCAGAAAAGTTTACCTTCTCTCTGACCCATGTTGTTGACTTTCCCAACAGTTTGGAGCCATGTCTTTAGAGATCTTGGTGGTACCTGCCCTGGGTAGACCTTTCACCTTAGGGGGCGCTCTATGACGCTCTATGATCCCAGCTAAACTTAGTTAGCAGCTGATTAGCTACATATGATCACTTGTAAAGTATACATTAATACCTATACAACCATTAGCTAAAAATAGGTCCTGTGGAAACACCGGTTTGTCAAACTAATTTAAACTCACAGTTTACTAACCAACCTCATGTTTTAACTTGACCTACCAAGTTTTCCTGTGAAATCAAACTTTTTAGTTAATTCCAAGTAAAGTGGCTTAGATAATCTAACTTGATTGTGTTTATTGTTGCATCAGATTTTGTTTTAGTAATGTGTGTGTTACCATATCTCAGCTGTTGGTGAGTGCAATGTTACTATAAAAACAGAATTAACACTTTATTTACGTTATAATTCTATCTATAAGTCACACAATGACAGAATGCATCACTACTTTGGTCATGGGTTTAAGACCCTTTCTGTAACCAAAACATCTAAAAGCAAAAATCCTATCAGATGGGCGTTCCTGGGACAATATCTTATTTTTATGTCAGTTTAGGGATCCTTGGTGTGAAAAAGTTTGAGAACAGCTGCTGTTATCTATCAAAAGGTCATGTTCCCATGAGGTTTTTTAATAAGCAGAGCCGCAGTACTGTATATTAACAAACCATAAGCACTATGTTAAAACTATATATTATAAATGTGACAGGAAAAAAAGTGATGTAGTATATGTCAGTATTTACTAATGGGGGACTGGATCCAGAATGAATCTTATAACTCTTCCTTCAGGACATTCTTTTGTTTCTTGCAGTATGGATGGTGATGAGGATGACTGCTAACAGATTATGCCTTGGTCTCTCCATCAGATTACACTGAGCTCACCCTGGACCCAGACACTGCACATTCTGTCTGAGGACAACAAAAGTGCCGAGGCTGGAAAAACACAGTCGTATTCTTGTCTGCCAGAGAGGTCCGACATGTTTCGGCAGGTGTTGTGCAAAGAGGGGCTCAGTGGGCGCAGTCAGATACAGATTCTGTGTTTTAAAGGAGCTGTAGAACATTTTTGACACTTAGTTTGCGGCCCAAATGTACAGTTTCATCTAACTTTTACATCTAACATTGCATTTTGTTGCTTTATTGCATGGCATGTGAGTACATAATCATCTTGAAAGCCAGGAAAGACATTGAGGCCTAAAATTGTTCATTGTGTGAAAACAGAAAATCAAGACATCAAAGATTTCATGTAATGTCACATTTCCAATGTGTCCTCTCCTGGCTTTAGACGACTGTACGACCTGCTGGAAGTTTTAAATAACAGAATTAAATTAAGCATGTTAAATAGTTCATCAACATTTGGGGAAATGCTTGTATTTGCTTTCTTGCTGAGAGTTAGATTAAAAGAATTATTAATGTAATTATACACAGTACTTTATCACGCAGTGTGTAGCAAGACTTTCACTGACATTTATGAATTTATTCTCACCATGAATGAGGTGGTACAGATTCTAGTACAAATGATGAATAGCTTGAAAGCTTTGCATGATAGTGGCAGGACTAATCATTTGACGGTTCTTCACATGGCAGTAGAAAAAGAAAGTCAGTTAATAACTGCCTTTCGACATTTCAGCTGTGCTAACCTACCACCCAAAAAGTGGTTTAGATCATCTTAAAATGATCTGCAAGTTCTGACATGTGTTCAAGTACGATATTAATCTTGTTCAGGACCTTATGCTACAAAAATAAGAGCAAAATTGTAATAAACAGGAATTATTCTTGAAATGCCTACAGTGAGGGGGAAAAAATATATAAATACATATTAATATTTGCTCTGGTTGTGCTGTCTGTCTTTATTTGCATATTAATAAGGTAAAATAGACCTTTTTCCCATGGTGCTTTCAAGTTTCCTTATACGGTATTATTAAGTCAAGGATGTTGACAAACATATTTGCTTTTAAATGGAATTATTAGAAATAATTAACTTTTATTAGCATATCTACTTGTGATTGACAAGCTTTTGAGACCTGTACTGCATACATAGTGATTAGCAGCACTGTCCATCACCCAAGTGTTTCTTGTTTATGTAGGAATTGTTCTTATTATTTTGTAGTTGTAGAGGTGTTTCACTAACAAGGTCCACGCCAATGTGAGGTATAAAAAGGTAGTTTTGGGTGAGAGGGGTCTGAGAACTGAAAAACAGGAGAGAAAGGGGTTAGACAGGCTTATAGATGTGAGTGCATGTGATTGGATTAGCGAGGCACAGGTGGATGAAATGAGTGAAGCACGGGTGGTTGATTGGAGGAATTGAATGAGGCGCAGGTGGTCAAATTAGTGAGAGAGGCGTGGTCCTGTTCCTGCACATTTACTTATATAACTCCAT